TTCACACCCTACACACAAAGCAGCAACTCCCTCCTGGCTTCAGACTAGGTAATTATGTTGTTACAATGGAAACCTAGTCCTTGTTACAAAGAGATGAAAAGGAAGACAGACCTATAAAGCTGTCTTATCTTTTAGGGTATGTCTCACCTGCAAATCAAGAGAAGCAAACATAACATGCTTCGGAATATCTGAGTTAGCTTTAATTTTGTTAGTTCCAATAAAGATAGCAGCTTCTACAAAGACTGCATAAATGCCACCATCCTGGTTTTCACTCTGAAGTAAGCAGTCTGTGCTTGAACTGGCATGCTACACCTACAGCCACTAAAATTTGCATGATTACATTTGTCTTAGATTGTGGAGCACATATACTTAATAGGTGAAGGTGTGACTACAGAGCGCGCGTACGTTAAAGCCGCCTGTACACCAGTATAACAAATCAACCTGCAGATACAGGTCCATGGGAGACAGAGTTCATCCCTCTCAACATCCTTTACCACAGGAAGTGAAGCTACTACAATACACAACACAAATGATTTTCTAATTTTCTGCAGTAGAACAAATCATGAATAAAATCTGAGATGGCAAGTTAAAAAGTAAGAAAACAGTGATAATGAAAAATATAATACAAATTACATGGGATCACACTATTCTCCTGCATTCCTCATACCCATAGAAAGTTGAGAAGCGTACAACTGTGTGTAAGTGTACTAATCCCTGGAAACCTGCCAGGAACATGAACAGCTTCGCCTCCAATTCAGGAAGACAAAAAAATATAAATTTACTGCTAGTAAAGCGGTACATGTTTAAAACTAAACATGCATTTAAATGTTGGGTAAAAATATTTTAAATCAGCACGGGCTCAGTTGTTCCCTTACAGAGGGACACAACACACTCAGTTAACTGCCTGCCTGGCCAAGGACTCGCAGGAATTCATTCAGCCTTGCACCCAGCCACTCGTGTTGTGGCCAGCAGGCACCACGCAGCCGAGTCACCAGAAGGCACATACGGACAGCAGTGGACAACAGAAAGCAGTGTGAATACAGACTGGCACAAAGGGGAACACAAAGCGCTGGAGAAAGACATCAGGCTACACAAAGGAACCTCAGCACAGCAAGAGGCAGTGGGTAAACTACTCTGACTTCTATAAAGGACAAACTCCGATGGGGTCACAGATACGTAACTCCACTCCGGCAGAAAGGAAAAGGTTGTCTTGCAACAAACCCACACCTAGATTCCCCTAGTCTTAGCAGCCTGTACTGCAGCTACCAGACAACCTGTGGTTTCCCCAAAGCTCCTCCTCTCCCCCATCTCCGCTCAGAGTAAGGTGTGAAAGATGAAGAAAAGCTCAGACTTGTGATACAAATTCAGTTATAACTTCACCTTGGAGAGCCTGCCATATGTATCAGCGGTTTGTAAAAGCTCCAATGTAAAGAAAAAAAAAGCATGCAAAGCAAACAAATTAAATTTAATTTTATTATGGAAATGAAAGTAATAACAGAAGTGACAGCAGGGTGGATGATAAGCTTACTTAGCAGGGGGATCAAATGAAGTGATGACATGTCATTATGACCTCAGGGGTTAAGGATGCAATTTTCCATCTGGCTGCATCTGGCTTTTCAACATAAATGTTGACACCACCTGCTGAGATTTACTACAAGCTGCCTCCATAGGTCTTTGTCTAGCTTTTGTTACCCAGGTTAACATTTACTTTTCTCTCTTTTCTGTTAAGTTTTGCTGAGCAACACGCTCCCTTTCTTCAAAACCTCATGGACAGTCAAAAGGATTTTACATTCCACTTTATACAACAGATCAAATTATTAATAGTAATTTTACAAGCAGCTCAAAAAGCGATACTAGAAACCTAGAAAGGAGATAAAACCAGAAGATGAAATTTTAGCTACACTTGCTACTCCAAGACTTCTAGGAATCTACTTGTCTCTGAGTAACAGGTATCTTCACAAAATCATTTTTCAGGGGAGGGCGGGAATCATTAAAGAACTAGCTTGCACTCACCATACCCAATTGACTATTAGGCACCTGCACGTGTTTTATTCAGCAGCTTAATCATCTCCAATTCCAGATTCACTGCGTTTACAATAAATCATCTTTTGCAAGCCCAGTGGCACATTCACTTCTTCATCTAATTTAGCCACAGCCAAACTATGATCTCAACGCAAATTTGTAACCAGCTACTGACACGCTGTTGGCTATAAAGTTTTTGTTCCCACACTGAATGTTTAAAAGCTACTAACTACCAGTGGTATGCCCCTCCTGGAAGCTTAATCTGGAATAGGACTGTATGCTTACTACCACTTCATACATCCTTTACATTTTCGCCTGTGCCAAACATTTTTGCTAAACCCACAGCTCCCAGACTTTTCTCTGCCAATACAGGTAAGCTGAAAAGCTTGCTTCCAGCTGTTTTTAAAGTGTCCATATTCTTCACTAAAAAGAACCTGCAGTCTGTTTTAACTGTTTAAACAATGAGGCCCCAACCTCCACTAGGACTTGGTTACATACCAGCGAAAGAGGGGAAGAAAAGAAAAACCCCTCACAGATTTTGAGAGCTCCCTGGGACTACAGCTGTGAAAGGAGGAGAAAATGGAGACAAAGAAAGTTAATGAAGCTTGCATGGAGCAAAGAATAGCAAAGAAACAAACCAGAGAAAGTATCCAGACTGATCAGACATGCAAACAACTTCACTAAAAGACCACCACAAAAATACCTATAAATACCTTCCCCCCCCCCCCAAACTCTTTCACCACAAAGGCAATTACCAGAGGGGTGTCACAACCTCCTTCCCCTGGAATGGAAGATGTACTACCCCCTTACTCACCTTGGGGAGCTGGGAACCCTTGTTCTAAACAGACAAGTTGCCACCCAGTTCTGTATCTGTCAAGGCGTCTTCTGAGTGACAAGTGAACTTTGTTGTTCCCTTCACCATAAGGGAAGAAACGAAGTGTTCCTGTTCACTTTGCCCATACCTAACTTCAGGCACATGCTTCACTGCTACTCTGTGACTTAAGCATATGCTTAAATGCTTTCCCGATTCAAACCCTAAAAATAGGAGTGGTTTCTGCCGTTCCTCTTTCTCTTGTTCTCCTAATGACAGCCAACTATTGTGCCTTGTCATTATGACAATAAGATAGCTTAATTGCCCTCTTTCCAGAAGCTGTCAGTTCTGCTTAACTGGTACATAATGTATGCGTCTGGGAGTAAACGTGTTAATGTATCAGTCACTTGTATCTACCATACATTTTTCTCTGCTGTATTTAAAGAAAGCCTTGGGTTTTATGACTGACTTGCTAGCCATTATATTCATTGATATGGGTAGCAGTGATATTACTGTCTTGACCCATTTCTTCGTGAAAGATGCATGAAATAACTTCCTCCTCCTTCATTTACTGCACTTTTCCAAGTCATCTTCAACCAGACCGTGAATTTCCCTGTACTCATATTAAAAAGGTGCGGCCAAAAAAGGCTGCCTCAAAAATGACGGTGTAGAATGAACTGGTTGTTCCTGTAACTAATCAGGATTGATGAATCAAAATGTCTGGGAACACTGGTAGTTGCTTTAGAACATTTTGTGCATTGTTTTCCTGCTGTAACATAGTCATTGAAAGCATACAAAGAAGAATAAGGATCAACAATATCTACAACATGTAATAAGCAGCAATGAACTGAAGGCCTTGAATTCTCTAAGACATACTGGTAAGGTCACGCCTGAACACACAGCCTATGCAAGCTGGCTCAATTCTCTTCATACTCCCTTTCTGATCATGATTATTACCAAGTTCCCTCTGTATCCCCTCACTGCTTCTTGTGTCTTGCACACTTCAGTTATTTTTTTCTCCCACAGCCTCTCCTTAAATTGTGAGCTGGAATGCAAAGACTATTTTTAATCATTTTATGAGTTTATGTTGCTATATTAACAAATATGACAATGGCATTTTTTGTGTTTATATCAGTAAGACCTCCTGTTCAGAGAAGTATTACTTGCAACCCATACACAGAGTTTTGTGGGCCTTCAGAGAAGGCTGCGAAGACATAAAGCGTGAAGAATACCAAAAGCTGTGTGCAACACAGAATAAACCTGACAAGAACAATATAAAGCTTAGTAAGAGTTGAACATGCAGCTTGCTTTGTTCACTTAATCCATTTCTAAATGTTCTTCTGCCAATACTTTCCTTTTTAAACCATTAAAGCAAGCTGATACTTCTAACCAGTCTGGCTGCAAAGTTCCCAAGACCAGAAAGAAGTGAAGCCACGCTGACTCCATGGAAAGAACACAGGTGAGATGCAGAAGTGGTGAAGCGTAGGGACTTCGCCCACAAGTGGCAGTCACTGGTTCCTCTCAAGTGAAGTGGAAGCCAAAGCATACTGCCATGTAGAGTGAGCTGGCATGTGACAACAGGGGCAAAAGTACACAGCGCAGAGAGGTTTGTGACACTTACTCTGGTGTTATTAATCACTGGATACAACTGCTACAGTCCGTAGATCAACTGTTTCATAAAGATGTAAGTACATGTGCATCTGACCAGAACTGAAAGTTGTCAATTCTATTGGAAGTTTTACATTTAATCCTGAACTAGTGGTTGTTTCCAACCTTTTTCCTAATGTTACTTAAGTGCTATATTAACATTTTTGTTCCTAAGAAAGATCATACTAGAACAAAAATTCCCCAGAAGCTGTTTTCTCTCCCCCAAAACCATTGATGTATGAATGAAAATTCACATTTTCATTTACAGTGCAATCCATCCATCCCTTCTCCAGTGATGCACTACATAAAAGAATGCCCCGAATGTCTTCATCAACATAGTAAGATGAAGAAGTAAGATGAAGATGATGATGTAACCTGGATAGCCAAGGTTACAAAATGAAAAAGACTGGCCACATTCCCATTTATAGGAGACAGCATTTCTGTTGATTTTACTGATACCTGTTCATAGATGAAGTATGCTAAAAACATTTCCCACATCAGTAAGTACTTAAGAACTTACTTGGTTTTTTGAATCCAGATGCAATAGTCTGTAATGAAGAGATCATTAAGGATGTAGGCAGGGTCATTCTCCATAAAAATCTTGTGAATGTCCAGCAGGCACTTCAAAACTGCAGCTTTCCCTGGAAATAGATTTTTATTTTTGTAATTCACTAGGAATCAAATAGATAATCTTTACCATCCTCTCACCTTTGAGGCTTTAATAACCATGCTATCTACAACCATCATGTAACTAAGTTGATTCACAGTCTCAGAACAGCAGTATAATATGACTCTGCCCTTCAGTATCCACATCAATGTGGACATGGAGCCTCTGAATTCA